TGCTTTTCTGCTATGCAAATAGGGAGAAGTAGTGTTAATATCAGCCAGTGCATCTTCTGCCTTGCCTAGTAATAAATTCAAAATATGAGAATGGATGTTCTTTTCCACTTAAGTGAGAAGTGATGCAAAACTTCCTCTAACATTTTTGTTGTTTTTATGTGGGGCTTTACATCACAGTTGCCAAATGTCTTGAGAGAGACACTGTGGCATTTATGTTGCATAAGGAATGCGGAAGCCCTAGAAATGTTGCACAAAACCTGTTATTGGCCACATTTCCAACTCAAAGTTGAGGACAGGAGAACACTTAGAATGTCAACAGGCACCTGACACTTTGAGAAATGAACCCATCGTAAACATTGCAGTACTTAGCCTGCTTACCTCTAAATAATTACATCTGCCTTGGTGAGAATACTTTGCATTAAGTGGTGTCAAGGTTAGGCTGCTGAACCTGCAGTTTTTGAGTAGGTGTTCTAGTCAAATCTACAGTATAATTGTGATGGCTATCAATTCTGCTCTTCAGCATCCAATTCCATCGAGAAACTAGGCTTCCATTGCAGAAAGGTAGCCTAGTTCCGGAATGTCTAACACTTACTAGCTTTCAAAAACCACTTTACTATATTTATCACTTTCCTGAAGTCAAGGAGATTCTAGGGAATAAAATAGAACCTTTTAATAAAAGCGGGAGCAATTGCTTACAACTGCCAAATTGGAGAAATGGCTTCCAAGATGTGAAAAGGAGAGAGAGAGCATTTTGGCTTGGAAAGATTCATTATTAGACTTATTGAGCCCCACCTATCAAACCTGGCTTGTTATAAACTATGTTCAGGAGTCAGAGAGTCATTACCAATGTTAAAAATGAAAGTTCAATCTAGCTGTTGATGGATCATAACCTCAATGTTTTGGCAGCGCTGTTTTGTTTACTTTTTTTCTCTATTATACTAACGTGTTTGTTCAGGTAATGGAATTTAGAGTTTTTCCGTCTTTTTAGATATTCACGCTCTTCCTGGCAAGGTCTGAACAGTTTTGCTATTCCTTATAATTATACCTAGAGGTAAAATAAATACTTTCCCACGGGTCCACTGTGGTAATTTGTCACTGTGGGTCTAGAGGCTTAGTTGCGCAACAAGTATTTCTGCCGTAGTGTCTTTTCATTTTTGACAAATCTTAATGGCATGGGGACTTTGTGTCCACCAGGAATGATTAGCTTAAAGTCAGCATAGGGGAACACCATTGTAAGTTTTAGAAGGAGGATTCATCTTGTAGTATTAAAAGGTTGGCAAAACAGAACAAAGGTGGCTCTGGGTCAAAAAAAATGGTGGGTGGAAAAGCACATCATATTATGCTAGGTCAGGAGTTGTCCTCAGTCATGCAAGGTCCATCTCCATGGGCCACCAACGTATTTAAAGTTTACAATGCTATAGTGCATATCCTGAACCTCTTAACGGTTGGCATAACTAACTGGTGTTTTGATTTCGAATGTGCACTCATTCTTAAGAAAATAAGGAATGTCTTGTTGGATAAAATTAAGGAAAAGATTGAATGGATTCTTTGCAAGAAACCCAGTAACCAACAAACACGTAGACCACCAGGAACTAGTGTGTGATCCCCCAGGGAAAAATGATCTATCTTCTGCCATCTACAGTACTTTAGGATTTTTCATCTTAGGCTAGAGGGATGGGCAAGATGGCCCTCCAGATCCAAGCACCCCTGAAAGTGTGCATAAGAATGCACATATTAGTGAAAATAATAAACAGAATTCCTCATACAGGAGGCAAAATTGCATGCTAACATGTACGTTGGAAGAAATTGTACTACAATGCTAATGGATTTTCAAGGGGATTTTTTAAAAACGGAAGCTGATAGGGATATGTGGAGAACCAAACTTAAGTCTGGACAAATCAGAAACAGTGAGAAGTTGAAAGTGAGAGATTTTCCCATTCCTAACTCTGTAAATACTCACTGGAACGACAGATCGTGAAGCTGAAGCTGAGGCTCCAGTACTTTGGCCACCTCATGAGAAGAGAAGACTCCCTGGAAAAGACCCTGATGTTGGGAAAGATGGAGGGCACAAGGAGAAGGGGACGACAGTGGACGAGATGGTTGGATAGTGTTCTTGAAGCTACGAACATGAGTTTGACCAAACTGTGGGAGGCAGTGGAAGACAGGAGTGCCTGGCGTGCTCTGGTCCATGGGGTCACAAAGAGTCGGACACGACTAAACGACTAAACAACAACAAACTGTAAACAGAAACCCAAAGGTCAAGGGACATGGTGCTAAAGTACCCAACATCCTTAGGTTTTATCTAATGCTATTCACAGAAGGCTCTTTGATGCAGTAGAGCCTTCCATGAATGGATGGAGCATGAGGACAATTTTGGCATATTTCCTTTCTCCTGCAGACTCCTGCACCTCACCCACACAGCCCCAAAGGGTACCCCAGCTCTCTTGAAGATATTTAGTTGGGCACCAGAGGCTGCACAGGAAAAGAGGAATCAGCAAAAATCTCCTTTCCTTCTTTCATTCATAGAAGCATCTGCTGAATCAATGAGCTTTCTGTGAATGGAAGGACACCATGGGTATATAACTCATGAAACTCACACCATACCTGCTAGATAAGTTAGAAAATAGTTTTTATTTGAACTGTCTGTGCTGACCCATTTTAGACTAACCACCACCACATTCTCACCAGTTTGAAAGGCTACCAGAAATTACCGATACTTCTTGTAAATAAATGTGGGAATGGGTTTGTTGTGAATACAGATGAGCCCTTATTTTGCCTCTCAGAAAACAACTCACCCTTCTTGCATATATTTCTGCTTTGAAATGCTTTCTAGCTGGCATTGCATGAATGTAATAATATAATGCTACAAGTACATGGTAGCTCTGCATTTTTTTTCTTACTGATGAACCAGGAGTCTCACAAGAGAGCCTGCCTTTAGATAATTTCCAGCCCATGTTTTACAGACCTGAATTATTTATAGTTTGGATAAACATCTCTCTCCCCTTCACAAGGGAGGAAAGCTCAATGTTTAGTATATGGGATGGGAGAAGGAGTTAGGAGAAGTTGTGGGTTCTTCTCTTCCCAGTTCTGTGGCTGATTTGCAAAGTGCCCTCTCACAAATATTTAGCTTTGTACAATGGAGGTCATGTTACTAAAGAAGGCTAACTTCACACAACCACATTGGCAAGGTGACAGTGTGGTCTGCATACATCCCATTTAAAGCTGCCTCGGGAGCTTCTGCTAAGAGGCGGTCTATGAATCGATAGCTACGTAAATACACTTGCTGAAATGGATGCATGATTGCTCCAGCATGACGCTCCCAGCTTACTGGAGCAAGTGTGACAACTTGTGATGATTGTAAAACATTTAAAACTGATTTTAATATTGTATTTTTATATTGTTGTAACCTGCTCTGGGATGTTATGGTGAAAGGTGTATAAGAAACACAGCTGGTGGGGGAGTCTACCCAAACTTGCCTACATTTCGTATGTGACAATACCACAAATATCGTACAATGATACGTAAATGTCAGCCACTTGTTGGAAATATGAAAATGATGTCATATCTTGTCTGATCTGGCCCAGTAATGTAAACATTTAAAGTGATATTTCCAGTGTAACAGAGTCATAGAATTCGAAGGGTCCATGAGGATCATATGTGTTCACTCATTGCTTTAACTATATGGGAATTTTATCTCACAATACACAAAAATTTAAATGCATTTGATCAGGTTGAGTGAGGGTTGAACCCTGAGGTGCCCTGGGACAATTAGGAAATGTGAAAGCTAAAGGATAGCTCAATATACAGCCCTAACTTCACTTACCTGGAAGTATGCCCCATTATATTAAATAGGGCTTACTTCTGAGTAGACATAGGCTTGCCCTGCTAAATAGGATGGGAAGAGTGGATCTGGTCAACTCAAATTAGAATTCACAAATATGCCTTTTGTACCTTTTGTTTGGAGAAGGAATGTTGTCTTTCTAAAACACACATTACTGATATCTAAGCTATCACTTAGGTAAAGGTAAAGGACCCCTGACCATTAGGTCCAGTCGTGGCCAACTCTGGGGCTGCGGCACTCATCTCACTTTAATGGCCAAGGGAGCTGATGTACAGCTTCCAGGTCATGTGGCCAGCATGACTAAGCCTCTTCTGGCGAACCGGAGCAGCGCACGGAAAAGCTATCACTTACTGATATCTTATTGCCTAGAAGGCTATGATAGCCTGATCCTCTGTGCTTTCAGATGGCATTCAGTTTCCTTGAATTGACTGAAGCTTACTCCTAAATAATGTGCACATGAATTGGCAAACCATTCTGCTGCTTTTCTTCAATGGGTCTTAGTTACTAACTTTTCCAGAATTAGTCATTCTTTCATTTATTAATGAATAAATGAAGCAATCATCCCAAAATGAAAAATAAAAAATATATAGTAAGCATAAATCAGTTCCATGGCTCGCTTTTCACATCTGTGTGAACGCATGATGCCTTTTTATGCCATCATACCATTGGTCCATCTAAGCCAGTATAGACTACTTCAATGGCAGAAGGGAGATGCAGGCAGTATAAGCTACTCCAGGCTCTCAGGCAGAGACTTTTCCCAGCACCCGAATGTAACTAGAGTTAACCAAAGCCAGTTTCAAATAGCATCCCACTCCCTAAATTTCCGCCTCGAACTTAAGCCCAGATAACACATTGCACATTAACAAATACAGATGTTTAAAAGCTAACATTTACATTCACACCCAAAAGTTCCGCCTTTCAATCTACAAATTGCCATTTTTAACAGCACTTGTTCAAAATCTCTTTGTTAACATTCCTTTGGCTGAAGACCAGTTCATTTTAGTGTAATCTAAATGATAACACCCTTGCCCTTGCCAAGATTCTTGAAGCTGTAGGTCTGTAGCAAATGGACCGTAATGCTCCTTCTCTTACATCAATTGCTTAGCCAACCTATGACTAACATCTGTGTATGCAGGTACCTTCCCCCACCTCCCTTTACCTCAGAGATTAAGAATTTTTCATCATGAAGAAGTAAAAGTAAATGGCAAGTCCTTCTGTGCTTCGCTGCTGAAAGTTCCTTGCCCTTTCCACTGCAGCGGTGCTTTTGCATCTCTCTCTCTCTCTCTCTCTCTCTCTCTCTCTCTCTCTCTCTCTCTCACACACACACACACACACACACAGCTGAAAAAGCAAAAAGCAAAGGGGAGGGGAGCATGACAGTAGTAGAAAAGTCAGTGGTGCGAACAAAGGCAGAAATTATGCATTTGAGGCACTTTATTGGCTCAGCAAAGTAAGCTCAAAGAATGTACAATATCAACACTGAAGGCTGTTTTAAGTCATTCTCTCAGCTCAAGGAACCTTGGGAGTTGTAGTTTAGTATAGGGGACTAGTTATTCTCAACATCCTCACCAAACCACAATTCCAAGGATCCTTTGGGAGAAAGCCAAAGCCATACTGGTGGGAAACGGATATGTTTTTTCTGTTGACTCATCAGGTTTAAAGCGGGGAAGGAGACAAATACCACGAAGATATACGCAATAAGAACTGACGCTACAAGTATGTGAATAATGTTGAATAGAATTTGCTATAGTTGCTACAAAAACAGAGTAGTCCTAGCACACTCTTGTTGCAAGATGCCTCTGAAGTGTTGCTTCCCTTTATGCACAGGGTCCACCTCCAGGAATTTCCAGTTGGCTCAGAATGACACGAAATAGATTCCAGTCACAGTCCATGTAAAGCATATACACACCATATACTGGATCACGATTTGAATCTGTGTAATGTTTCTCACCCCATCAGGTCATTCCTGCAAGTTTCCTGCAGGTGGGCAGGAAAAGAAGGCAGGTGTTCAGAGACAGCTTGCAGGGACAGTGTGCTAAGGACACTGTACTTCAGCAGCAACCAGTGGTGTTGGGTGCCCAGTGGAACTGGTAGGGTGGAAATCAGGTAAACCAACAGCAAGTGGAGCCAGAGCAAGAAAAGGGCATGCTTGGTCCCCATCCTCCTGCTTGCTGGTTTCTGCAAAGGCCACACAGAGACAGAGGAGGGAGCTGGCAGGCGATGATACCCTGAGACTGGTTGTGAGTAAAAAGCCAGGCAGGTGAGTACTGGCTGAGAGCAGGCAGAAGTTGGTGCAGCAGAGCCCCCTTCACCCTTATGGATCAGTCAACTATAGCAGCTTTATAGGATAGGATTCTGGGGGTCTTGTCCAAACATTAGAATTATCTGCTCACATGTCTGTACGACCAGCTCTCATTGCACATATATCTTCATGGCATTTGGTGTTTAGCAACTTGCCTGCTTCTCTGTCCCTAGCTCCCTGATGTTGGCTTTTGCTATTCCATCTTTGAATCTGTTCCTGCTTCTCGCTGTGCTCCAATTTCCTGGCTTTCAAACTGATGCCTGAGTGTATATGACTGCCATCTATTGGACAGAATAAAAATCAATCAAAGATATCTTTATTGTAACACACGTCCCCAGGTTCTCCCGTTTCCCTGTCACCTTGCTAGTTACTCTGAGAAACTGTGTCAATGGGGTGTGATACTCTTGCCTTTATTATCAACAAATTGCATGAAGGCTGCAACCTTTTGTGTTAGGGTGGCCGTGTCCTACATTGCAGAGGACAGTCCTCTAATTTAAGACTTTCTTTTTCTTTTTCAAAGGGCTGTCTGCTCAAAGTCTGGTTTAAAGAATAAGAACTATAAGAAGGGAGAGCAGGGGGTGGGGGCCTTGAAATTGCCCATCAACAGTTGCTCCCTGGACAATATTCCATACAATGGTGAAATGAAGTTTGTCCTATTAAAATTCGAGTATTTCTTTTAATGGATCAAGACATATATCTTAGCATATGCACATTTTATGCTGATCTATGTCCTCTTTTGTGATCCACTTTTTTCCTTTTTGGTGATGCATAAGTAGCCACCTTCCTTCATGTACTCCCTGTAATGTCCTATTGAAAGAGATTGCACTGTAAGAGGCACATTAGGATGCCACTTCTGCACTTATATGCCGCTTTGGCTTGTATTTTGGCATATTAGTGGCAAATACATACATACATACATACATACATACATACATACATACATACATACACTCTTTCCTTTCACAATACTCACCTACAATTGTGGAAGTCTACATGATTATGGCATGATTTTTAAGGTCTTCAGAAAGCACCCTGTTCCAGATAGTGACAGGGAACAGCAAATTTTCAGAGGTGGCACCTGGGACTTCCTTCCTAGAGACACTTGCCAAACAACTTTGCATACAGCATTATTTATTCCTTTGGTGAATTTCTATTCTGCCCGTTGATGCACTGAGTGTTTCTAAGCCTTCTAAGGTAGCTCACAAAGCATTGCTATCAGCAAATGCAATGCTTTATAAGCTTATCAAAGACCTTTCCTTCTGTGAAACCTTTTGGGAGAGTAATCCAGAATCTCTATGATGCATTTTATTGATTTGACTTTTATAGTAGGTTTACAATGTGAATGAACCTTGCCCAGTTTAAGTTGGTGTGATAGCAGCACCCATTCCTTGGTGTTAAATCAGGACACTGTAACTCGTGGGTTAGTTCAATCCAGGTTCCATCACTGCACTGGGTTCAGCATGGGGGACTTTTGAAGACTCCTTGTAAACTTCATAATGTAGCAGGGAGGCTGTTAGTGGGTACTCAGTCATGGATTCATATTATACCTGTTCTACAATAGCTGCTCTGGTTCCCAATTACTTTCTGGTCACAATTCAAAAGGCTTGGGGCCAGGACACCTAAGGGACCCCTTGTGCTATCCTGTTCACTTCCTATGATCTGTTGGAGAAGCCTTTCACTCTCCTCCATTCATGATCAGGGTATGATGGATTGGGACAAAGGTTTTCCCTGGGGCAGCATCCTTGCCTTGTGAGACCCATCTTTTTCCTCTCACTTACTCTATTATTATTATTATTATTATTATTATTATTATTATTGCTGGTTGGTTAAAACTTTCCCACTTTAGGACAGATGATTTTTTTTAAATTTGGGGAACTCTCATTTTAGAACATTTTTATCTGCTGAGACTGTTTTAGATTTATGCTTTTTTATTTTATGGGGTTCTGAATTTTTTATTTTTGCAAGCTGCCACAATTGATGCAAATGTGTTAGAAGGGTGGGGCACATGCTTTCTAAAATAAATAAAAATCATTGTTTTAAAATATATCAGGCAGTGTTACTGCTGAAGCCTGCTAGGGGATATATGTTGTTATAGCAGTGGTATATAAGCCAATACGGTCTGAAGCTCAACATAAAAAAAACACACCTGAAGATCATGGCCACTGGTCCCATCACCTCCTGGAAAACAGAAGGGGAAGAAATGGAGGCAGTGAGAGATTTTACTTTCTTGAGCTCCATGATCACTGCAGATGGTGACAGCAGCCTCGAATTAAAACACACCTGCTTCTTGGGAGAAAAGCAATGACAAACCTAGACAGCATCTTAAAAAGCAGAGACATCACCTTGCCAACAAAGGTCCATATAGTTAAAGCTATGGTTTTCCCAGTAGTGATGTATGGAAGTGAGAGCTGGACCATAAAGAAGGCTGATCGCTGAAAAATTGATGCTTTTGAATTATGGTGCTGGAGGAGACACTTGAGAGTCCCATGGACTGCAAGAAGATCAAACTTATCCATTCTGAAGGAAATCAGCTCTGAGTGCTCACTGGAAGGACAGATTGTGAAGCTGAGGCTCCAATACTTTGGCCACCTCATGAGAAGAGAAGACTGCCTGGAAAAGACCCTGATGTTGGGAAAGATGGAGGGCATAAGGAGAAGGGGACAACAGAGGACGAGATGGTTGGACAGTGTTCTCGAAGTCACAAACATGAGTCTGACCAAACTGCGGGAGGCAGTGGAAGACAGGAGTGCCTGGCGTGCTCTGGTTCATGGGGTCCTGAGGAGTTGGACATGACTAAATGACTAAACAACAACATATAAGCCAACATGATGAAATTATTCTCTATCCCAATACACTCACCATCTGCCAGACATGGTTTGCTTTACTATAACACAGATGTTTGGGACTCCAAATCCCATCAGCCCCAGCCAGTAGGACCAATAGTCAGAAATGAAATGAACTGTATCAAATAAATGGGTTTATGGAATGTTAAGGGAGGGATGATCGCCGAAGAATTGATGGTCCATGGAGTCACAAAGAGTCGGACACGACTAAACGACTAAACAACAACAAGGGAGGGATAGTACTTCTGGGGGGGGGACACACATCATGCTCCTCCTGGGGTAGCTGGTCCACCTTTGGTCCTCACCCTGCACTCAGCTCTCACCTGTGCCATTTCAATACTAACATGTTCCAGTGTTCCAGTAGGAGAACACTTCAATCTCCTAGCATATTCAATACAGGATCTCAAAGCAGCTGTCTTATTACAAAAGAATTTCAGAAATAGACTTGAAAGGGAAGTTGCTGAATTACAACTTATTACTAAACTGAAAAGTGTGGAGAGACCTGGTCTGAATAGAGATATTGGATTCTTGTCTCATTACTTATGCTAAAGCTATTTTTATTCATCTGCATACTATCCCTTCCTTTTTCCTGTAGGACTAATTGCAGTCGTTAACAGTCATCAACAGGTTTCCCATACCCATTTAGTCAATCATCCATCTCCTACTACCCTTCTGAGAAAAACCCCACCCTCCCACTATATATAAGGGTCTGGTGACTTCTGTTTCAGTGTATCTTAAGAAGTGTGCGTGCACACGAAAGCTTATACCCAGAACAAACTTAGTTGGTCTCTAAGGTGCTAATGGACAATTTTATTTATTTATTTATATTTTTTTAAGTGTTCCTGTCCACAGCCCAGGAAGAGGTTTTTGCATTCATTTTGATTCAAAGTGTGCTGAACTCTAAGATGGAGTGCATATTCAAAACCCAGTCGAGGATATGAAATAACATAGCTTGCCTGTATGGGATCAGCTGCATTCCCCATTCAGACAGAGCAAAATTCTGCCTCTGCCACCCCTGTTTCCCAAGATCAGAATCTGCACGTCCGTTATAGATCTTTTGCTATTGCTTGGCTCTCTTGTTTTGATAAACAAGACAAGAGGAAGAAGAGA